AAAACATATTCTAATTCTGCACAGATGAAATAGAAAAGTGTGGCGCTATGTTTAGCCCACACATGACATTCATAGTATTTTCAGAAGTCATATTTCACTTGGTGTGTGCTGGGGATGTTGGGGAGGACAAAATGACACATGATGTTTGTGTGTATCGGGGAATCTGTTTATACTTTCCAGCAGATTACTTCGAACAAACACCCCCCCAACACAAACACACACACACACACACACACAAACACAAACACACATATACACTTGCACTCAAAGGAAAGGTCTGGATTATGTTGGCTCTGAGGAACGGACAGGGAAATTTAAACTCATCTTGAAACAATCGGTGATGTAAAACAGAAAGGGAGGAAAGTTGTAAGAAGGGGGCTAAGGCAGGGGAGAGGAGAAAAGGTTTAAGAATCAGCGCCCTTGGGGGAGCAGTCCAGCTGCAGTCTGTTGGTCTGTTGTCGTAATGCCTATTCACACACACACACACACACACACACACACACACACACACACACACACACACACACACAAACACATTGAGACACAAACAATCCCGTGCCACGGTTGACCTAACCGTGCCTGCCTCATTAGCTGCCAATCACTCTGTACAACTCGTCCAGGAGGGACATAAAGAGGGAAAGAGATGGATGAGGACATGCTAGTTAGATTGCAGCCATCAATAATCAAGCTGCCTATGCTCCTGTGAAAGTTGGCATCTTAACTGAACAGTCACAAGTTAAGCACCATAAAAGTGGGCAAACATGACTTCCTCCTCTTTTTTTTTTTTTTTTTTTTTTCTATCTGGAATGGTCTGTTTATGTGTTTTCAGCAGGACTTTCCATGCCTCTTCAACTGGATAAAAAGATGGGCTGTGGGTTGGAGTTGGTTTGGTGAGCAGTAGACAAGCCAACTACACACACACAAACTACAGAGGAAAATCCCCTTGAGGGACAAATACTTCACATCCAGACACACAAACACACACACAGGGAGCAGCAAACACCCGCGGTTGCATGCAGAAGCTTTCATAGAGCATGTGTATTTATAGTGCAGAAGAACACACATACAGTACCTACAGTATGTATGCATCCATCAAACATACACACAACACAAATCAAGTGTAGATTCACACACTACCTCCGGTTCCTTTACTAACACAAATGAGAGCCCTCACACACAGACCCTAACAAGCAAGGCCGAACAGCCTTTGAGCTGCCTGCAGCCTGACACTGCAGAGACAGCTTCACACGCACCAGGCAGGTTTCTAATTATTCATGCTCACTACAAACACTTGTTTCTTTTTATTTAGAGTTCACCAGCTGGAGATCTTTTTCTTTCCCAGTGCATGTGGGCAACTCAAACAACAAAATCAATTGAGAGCCTGTAATGAGGCCAAGCTATATCCACTCGTCCTTGTGTTGGAGTGCATGGACACCAATCAGGATGTTATGAGTACAATAAATACCAGGTTCTATAGCAGGATCTGAGTTAAGTATAAGGGGCTGTTGCATTGTAAGAGTAGGTTTTTATAATCTCCCTGTCCATGCTCCTCGCCCACCAGACCTCTTTTTCTTCACTTGGTTTGTAGTTGTTTGTCGTACTGGCTTATAGCACAGAGGTCCTGGAAAAACTCGAAAAAGGTGCAGAATGCAAATGTCCTATTGCTATAATCTGCAGTCGGGTGGAGGCACTCCTCATGACTCAAACTAGACTAGACTAGAGATGTAGATGTGTGGGATACAATTTATTTTAGGATCAAAACATCCTTACAGAATCTATGAGAAAATTCTATGTCACCAGGCAGTACCTGAGCCAAATTAAAAAATGAAAGTATGCAGTTCTGCATTGAGAATGGTGTCTTTTGAGTCTCTCATTTGTGTCTTTTTTTGCTTCCAAAGATGAAGAAAACTTTCTGAAACTCTTAAAGCCAAAGCCCTGGTCCTGACAATACACGCCACAGTCTAAGGAGACTTTGTGTGTCTGTGTGTGTGAGAAGATGCATTGTGAGTGTGTGTGCGTGTTAGGCGCAGATCATGGCTCAATGAAACGCCTTCCCTATACGAGACACAGATGCCGTCTGGGCTGGTTTAATGAAAGTGAACGTCTCGGGTTACACCATTTGAGCAAGTGTGTGTGCATGTGTGTCCTCTTATGTAGTGCTGATGTTTTGAATGTCAATAGGAGGTAAAACTTGTGTTGAAAACCCTGCTGAATTAAGATAAGCATCGCACAAAAGCCTGTCTCTTTCTTTGTACCTTCTCTTCTCCCCTTTCTATACTTGGTCCGAGCACAAAGCGCCCGATTGATGCCTAGCCTCGGTTTGAGAAGCATCACACCTGCCTTCTCTGTTTTCCCCCCTGTGACAAGCTATTTAGCAGGTGTGTGCTGAACCGCGGGTTTGTTCTCTTAAGTATCTGTATTTGTTATCAGTTTTATTGCAATGATTTCTCTTTGTGCTTGTCTGCTTACAAAGAGCCGGTGTATTCTGTCTTGCACAGAGGCTTTTTTTTTTTGCGATAGTAAGATAGAGCCGAACTTATCGTCTAATCATGGGAATTTGGTGTTGCACTATTGTCAAAAGAGAAAGAAACTGTTTTTTTTTTTACTGCGGATGAGTAATTTAAGGATGTGAGGTGTAATCATGTTCCTTTTTCTGAGCAAGCCTCCTACACCCACTCAGTAAAGGGCAGACAAAAATACAAACACAATAGGGCAGGACAAATGTCATTTGACAGTCTTATATAAGCCTATATATACCAGCTCGCTTTCAGGTATCTGACTGGCTTTGAGTTTACACAGGTTGAACTTTCATTTCCTGGCTGCGAGTTTGCATGTCCGACAACGAACTGTGATGTTTTAAAGAGTAAGAGAGGAAGACAGTGTCGGAAAAACCAGTGTGGGTAAAGCAACCAACAAGGCGTGGCGAGTGTAATTCACAGTGACACCGACAAGGAAACCTGAGAGGTGAAGTCCACAAATGCAAAACAAACCTGCGAGACCTAGATCGTGTTTTCCGCTCCTGGGGGTGACAGAAGTAAGAAATAAAAAATGGTGAAATGGAGTGAAATAGATTTAATTTACCACACAATGGTTGCAAAGTGATCTGCTAATTTGGACCTAAGGGCTTGCTATGGGGTACCAATTGTGGCAGCCAGCCTTTGGGCCTGACTGCGCGTTGTGTCCCTGCTGAATAGGAATGAAGTCGACGTCACTTAAAAGTGGTAATAAAGTTATTTTCAGGCTTGACAGCGTACGCAGTGAGGATTTAAGAAGGGGCCTCTGCTTGCAACTATCCCCTGACTAATCAGTTGAATTTTGGAAATAAATGATTGTTGCTGTAAATGTTGCGTGAAAGAGATGCCGGCTTCTGTGTAAGCGTGTGGTGTGTGTGTGTGTGTGTGTGTGTGTGTGTGTGTGTGTGCATGGACATGTGTTCCGTATGCGTGGGATGTTAATTGATGAGCGTTATAGAGAGCTGCTGGTAGCACAGGGGGGATCATTACTGCTGGAGTGGAACAACTGCATTCACGGCTGTTTGCCACGTCTCATGCACATTTCTGCACACATTTGCGTGCACAATCACTAAATACGCACACACGCGGTCACGGTGCACCAGCAGTCAAACGGAAAGTCATCCCTTTGCTCTCTCTTGTACATCTTTTTGTCATATTATTCAACTGCTCAGCCAAACTGAAAGACTCAGGTAGAGTAATTATGACACCCTAATTCCACAATGACTCTGAAAACACTAACTTTAGGATATCTAACTTTTTTTTTCAAATTAGAGTTTTGGAAATCCCAAGATTTATCTTGGTATGGCATGATGGGTAAAAACAAACACTTATCCCAGAGGCATTCCCCGTCCTTGAGTCAATTTGTGGGGTTTAGGGGGGTGCAGCCACTTTGGGTTAAAGGATCTAGGTCATGCTATAACTGACTGGCTGACATCAGAATGGTGAAACAGAAATCCTGGAGTGGACTCTGAACTCTTCTCCATCTCTTGAATGACTGATAGTTAAGACACTGACACTGACACTGAGGGAATAAAGGGTGGGTGTTTTGAGAGCCAACCTGCCGTCCTGGGCTATATTTAACTACCTTGCATGTATGTGTGTGTTTGTGTGTGTACTCACACGAGGAAGGGTCATCTTTGTCTAATCATATATGCTGCCATGTATGCAGAGTTGCAGACATTTCAATTTGTGCGTGGCTGTGTATGAATGCACACATGCATGTAATTGTGTGTATGTTTGTGGTTGTGAGTCTGTCCTTGTGTGCCGAGGTGCATGAATACATACTCGAGACTATGTGGGAGTTTCTCTGTGTTTCTGTGCACCAGGGGACAAGAGCGTGTAAGCAAAATCAGCGGGTGTTTATGCTTTCTGTCAGTGTCGGGCAATGTCTCCCTCTCTCCTGCCGATGCCACAATACTTCAGTTTAGGAGCTTCTGTCACTTAAGAAGCAGCACAGACAGGTGAGACTCCACAGAGTGCAGTGCTGCTTTTTCTCTGACAAACATACAAATACTTACCCTAAAAAAAACAACCATAAATCACAGAATATTCTCCTACTGTATTTTATTTTTTTCCATAATGTTTCGCTATTTAAAAACAATGATTGGAATAATTGAAAAACATTTTTGTACTGTATTTTCATTTTTTCCATAATGTTTCGCGATTTAAAAACAATGATTGGAATAATTGAAAAACATTTTTGTACTGTATTTTCATTTTTTCCATAATGTTTCGCGATTTAAAAACAATGATTGGAATAATTGAAAAAAAATTTATACTGTATGTGAATGTATACATTCCAATAACTAAATTAAACTGTGCCTTTGACTAATGGGGTAAATACACATTTGTTTGTAATGAAATTTGAAAAAAAAAGAGCATTCTTTTAAAAAGGCGAGAAAAAATGAAAACACACTTTTTAAAACACAAGTTCAACACACACACAGACACCAACACATGCACGCAGACACACGTTCGGACTTGTACCTCCAGTAGCCAGGGTTTGAGTTTGCGGTCCAGAATGATGTCGAAGCCTAGGACCTCAAAGCAGACGCTGTCGCTCCCTGGTGGCTGGCCGGGGCGACACATGCGGTAGGCATGCAGCACATGGGGCTCAGCCACTATTAATGTCTTCACAACCAGCTCCTGGCAGGACACACACACAAATACAAAGAGAGAGATCACCATCTGAGCTGACAAAGAGAACACACACTTTGACCCTTTTTTGGTTTGTTTCATCTATCCTGCATAGCCGACAGCTGCAATTTTTAGCAGCTGATTAAAGTTCCTCTTTAATTGAAAATTGTCCAATTAGTAGTCCCAGTTTAGTTGCAGGTTAAAACTGCAGCAAAAAAACGTGAAACTGTAAATCAGGGACAAAACTCTGAAAATGTGAGTCACATCAAACATAGAATAAAAGACCTGTGACCCCAAAACACTGTCCTTCTTCGTTATTATTTAAAGTAGTAGGACTGCAATCCAAAATGTCCCCAAAGTCTTCTGTGTCTTGAGATATCGTTTCAGTTTAAAAGCCAAGGAGAAACAGAGAGTGTTACTGGCACATTTCAAACACAACAATGTTTTCGGTGGTCCATCTGTGTGGCTTGTGGCTCCCAGCCTGTGGTCACATTGTGTGTGTGTGTGTGTGTGTGTGTGTGTGTGTGTGCTTGCTCGTATGTTTGCTGCTTACTACCTGCCTGCCTACTCCAACTGTGCAACTGGGGTAAACATGCTCACTCTGACAAACACAGAAATACACACTCTGCCCAAAGCTTCCACTCACCCTTCCAGCCCCACACAGTGCTGCTGGCCTGCAGTTGCCCAGTCCAATCTGACTGCTGGGGGCAGGAGGGGGGCATTGTGTTCTGGCCCTGGCCTGATAAGGCCTCAGCCCCCCCCCCCCATGCCCTTTTCTATCTGTCTGTCCCTCACACACCTCCGTCCATCTGTCCATCCATCCACCCGTGTGACCCACAGGCTGCTCAGCACAAACACCTGCTCCCACTTCCACAGTTTATGCCACAAGTCCCTCGTACTAAGGTGTGTGTTTGTGTTAATGTCCCTTCCCCCATTACCTCTCTGCTTATCCCGAGCCTCCATCCCTGGCCTCTGCAGAGTACAGTGTAGCTGTGAGCCTTTCGTCTTCAACCAATTCAATAAGCCTCTTATTATTATTTTTTAGCCTCACCTGCATTATTATTCATTTGTTTTATCATTCTAGCTATTTCACTCATTACATCTCTGCTTTAAAAGCATCATTTTTCTTTGTGTCTTATTTTAAGGATTTCTTGGTGGCTTGCCGATGTTTGCAACTAACTCTATGCTCCTGGGTTCATTGACAGTGAGACAAACTAAAAAAGATATTTAGACTGCAAATAGGTTTAAGTGACTCTTTCCCTAAAGTTAATTGTGGTGTAATCAGACTAATAAGACAAACTAAACTGAGTGAAGAAGATACATCTAAGGCATTATCTTAACATGAGCATGCATTTATTATATTTTATTCAGCTGCTATAAATGTATGCACAAACACTCTTCAAAATTATTTTTTGAAACGCTTCATTATAATAGTGTTAATCTACTTTGCTAAGAGATATTCACTCGCTTCAATGTATCATTCCATATGGTTTGAAAAATCTTCATTGTTTCTAGATGTAAAAAAAAAAAGAAAAGCAGCACTGTTGTCACTTGAATGGTGGTCCAACATGAGAGTGAATGGGTTCTAACTGTTTCATTTTACTGACTGTACCACACACTTCCTCTGACACACACACTCGGCACAAAGCTTCCCCTTCCCAGTCAAGCCCCACATAGTGCTGCTGTTTGCAGAGTCCTGTCTGCACACTAGGTGCAGGAGAGGAGTGTGATGGCCTGGCCCTGGACTACATAACTAGCCCATTTGTAGTCAGATGCTGCTCTCAAAATTACACCCACAGAAAAAAGCTCAGGTCAAACCTTGGACACTTTAAAGCGCATCAATAATACCTCAATATGAAAGACATGTCAGTGATTCTCACGAAAAAAAAAAACTTGGTATTTTTAACCCCTTCAGGCAATCTTTTTAGCAAACAAACTCTCTGACTCTCTGGCAGTAAATGTTGGCGGGAAAAGTCAGGGCAGCCTGCTAGGTCTGTATGGGAACAAAATGTAAGAGGAGAGATGAAAAGAGAAAAAATGAGAGGAGGACAGGCAGAGAGCAAAAGAAATACAGAGTTGAAACAAAAACCCAGTGTGTGAGTGCAAACGGACAGCACTAACACCACCAAGTGATGAAACTTATGAAGAAAGAGCAGAGAAGAAAATGGTGAGAGAGCAAGAGAGGAAAGAGGACTGCCTGGCTGAGTCAGAAGTCTACACTCTGGTGTGTCAGTGTGGGACAAGGAAGACGAGAGAAAAAGACGAAGAAGTGAGGAAAACTGAAGAAGGAAAAAGAAACTAGGACTTTCACACCTAGAAATAATGTAACACATGGAGAGATTGCACAAGATTGATGAGAGGAGGTGTAAGGAAAAGAAACACTAACTAAACAAGAACATTAAACTGGCAACAATACCTACAACGGCCTCAAATGGAACTTTGTTTAACATTCACATAGGAAAAGTGAAAGCTGATGGACAGAAGAAAGCAAAGATTGACTTGAAGAGAGTTAATAACCAATAGGATTTGATTTTGAAAGTGAACACTGCTAGCCTGAAATAAGAGTGTAAAATAGAACACAGGCATTGGGGGACTATACAAACTTAAAGACTATAGAGAGAGGCAAAAGGTTAAGGCCAAGAATGAAATAGAAAAGACCATAAACCGAAGACAGTAGAAAAGACAGGATTAAAATAAAGAGAAGAGGGGCATATAATCCAATGGATAGGTATGAAAAGTGGGTACAAAAGAAGATATATGAAACAGGTCCAGGAAGTAAATGTGTCATCCAAAAAGAAAAGAAAATGAACTAGGTAAAGGTGTTTGTATGAGCTGAGAGTGGTGCCAGAAAGACAGAGCTCACCCTCCAGGAATGATGTTTTTTTTACTGAGCTCTTCCTGGAGCTAAACAAAGCTCTGAAGCTCTCTGAATTACTGTCATAACAAATCATATCAAACATTTGCTGTCCCGCTTGCGTGCTATGTGCGATGTGTGTTGCCTAGTGGCAAAAGAATGTGTATATCTATGAGCGTACACTTACAGCGTGCTCTCAGGATGTATGCATGCGTTGTTTGTGTTTGTGGTGAGTTTCGTTATCACAGCGCACATCCTTGGTTTTGTACACATCCGTCACACATATGTCCGTGTGTCTGTGTTTTGTGTGTGTGTGTTCAGGTGGACTTCCTACGTACCGAGACGTCTCCCCAGAACTTGGACACGTCGTAGTCGTTGGTGCGGAGAAACTCAGTGAACCAGCTGATGGACCTCTTGCTGCCTTTGTCCACCGTCTCGTCTCGCTCAAAGTTCTCGTTGTGTTTGTTGACCGAGTAGTTGGTCAGATGCATGTAAAGCTGGCTCTGCGGACACAACAGGGAGAAATGGTTGATTTGAATCAATTAAAATTACCTTTACACAGCTGTCTTCGTCTAATCTTATCAAGTTTAATTTAATTTGATAGCAATGCAACAGCTAGCTCTCATGTAGAAACATAGTTCTGACCATTAAAGCCACAAAAGTAGAGACTAGAGACTGATTATAACCATCATCTAAATGACAAAACAAAACAAGCTTAAAAGAAGGATTATTCCAATATATTTAGAAATCAATCAAATTTATTCATAAAGCACATTTAAAAACAGCAACAGCTGGGGCGCCAGTTGCCTAGTGATTAATTTGCGCGCCCCATACACAGAGGCAACAGTCCTTAAAGGAGGCGCCGGGCAGCCCGTGCTCGAATCCGACCTGTGGCACCTGTGCCGCATGTCATTCGCCACTCTCTCTCCCCATGATACCGACTCTATTAATCACTGTCCTCTCCAGTAAAGGCATAAAAATCCCCAAGAAATCATCTTTAAAGAAAAAAACAACAACACTGCTGCTGTCCAAAGTGCTGTTCATGGAACAATGTAGTATAACAATTACATTATTGGAAAATACTTCATATCGAGAGACAATTTGACCAGATGTGGTGCTTGAGTGGTAGGCCTGTGATGTATTTGTGAAGAAGTCAACTTCATTTCTAAGCTCTGACAACATTCAAAACTGAATTTCTCAGCAACAGCAGATCATATTTTCACCAGATGGCATGCTTTGCTTGTTGTTGGATACAAATCATGTTCTTCTTCTTACCCCTGATTTCCTTTATTTAATGAGCAGATAAAGAATTGTAGCTTTTAAGTCGTCTGCTCCCAGCTTCCTGTTCAATGCATTCACACTTATAGTAGTCCAGCACAACCACAATCTAAAACTTAATGATAACGCCACTGAAGCTAAAAGCTGGCACTGCCATAGTGAATACTTTTTCAATACATAGTGTATTTAATGAAACAGCTTATGGTACCTTTGGCTTTGCTGTGAAGAGTAATTACACCTTTGACGGTGACGATTATCAACTCTGCTAAGAACACCCCTTACAGATGTTCATGCTTTTATCCCCACAGAGCAAATAACTATTCTGTAATGTAAGCGTTTTCTTTAAAGTTATGAGGGTTGACAGGAATAAAGGAAAAAAAGTCTTAGCTGGCAATGTAGTCTCCTGTCATCATCACATGGTGTGTGTTAAAATGTAAAGAACATCTCACTGTTGGGAATGTTGTATGGAAATAATCAGTTCTTAAGTGGTGCTTTAATTATACTTAGTGATAATTAGAGATAGGGGTGCAGAAATGCAAAATTTTCTTGAATCGATTACTCTTCCCGTTGTTAAAGCGAGTACTCGAGTAATCGTTTTGTAGTTCTTTTTTTTTCTGTGATTCTTTTCCCCCATGGGAGGCCCCGGCCCCAAATATGACGCGACGCCGACTGTATCTATTGATTAATTTGAATCTTCGGGATTTTAATAATTGTTAGTAATAGGCCTTTGTATTAACGTTCAAATTAGGAAATTTCTTACTTCAACAGACAGCACACCTCAAATAAAAATTCACACAGACGTATCTTATGACCGTTTTAACACTTCTTCATTATGATTAGAGCAGTGAGTGTGGCGAGCGGACGTGCAGACATCAATTCACACTCGTCGCACGTTGCAGGTGTTTTGACAGCAACATTCTGTTAACAAAGACTACAGTCTGCAGTGTAGAGCACACTTTACTCTGGTAAATGAAGTTACAATAGAACAGGTGAACACTTTAAGTGTCTGTCTGTTTCATCTTTCTCCTCTGTACGTAATGACACACTCGCTCAATCTCACTCGTCCGTCCGCTATGAGCTATTTCTCCCTATCAGGTTGTTCCTTTTTGTAATTATTAAAAGAATAATCATGTAAAATTCCAAAATATAGGAAAACATCTAGTTATGCTGCTCTGTCCAGGATGATCAAACGTCATTGATTTGGCGGAGTAAAGCGGTAATCGCAAAGAGAAAGTCCTTCTTTTTCTGAGGACTAAAAAGACAATTTGAACTGAACTTTCGTAGATCGTATTGCATATTTTGTTTGTTTGGGACTTTTTGTTCATTGTGAATTCATAGGGGGGTTAATTAAAGGGATATTTTTGTTAGGGTAGCAGCGTAAGGATCAACAACGGACGCGTTTCAGCACAGAGCCTTTATCAGCGCTTTGTTTGTCATCTATTTTCTTTTTGCGCTCATGCACCTGAAGTTTGAGTGTGCTCCTTTTTTTCTGTTTTGAATTAGGCCTCTCCCAGAACCCACAATGCAACAAGAAACATTTACAAAAATGTGGACTACAAAACGATTATCGATTACATTTTTTTTGTAACCGATTATTATTTAATGAGCTTTGCACCACTAATGAGAGAAACAGCAGAACAAGTTCACACTCGTAGAAGAGCACATTACGCCCACGGATTCAACCATAGTGCCTCAATGGCCTCATTGAATGGTTGACTATAGCTATTGTTTAACCCTTGATGTTTCTCTTTAAACACTATTGCTTACATTTGGACACAATACATCCTTGTCCTTAACATACATGGTAATAACACTGTGGCTGCAGGCCACTCCAGCCTCTGATATCAGTCTGGCAGCCACTCTCTGTGGGATTGAACATCCATCTCCATGGCATGACTCACTCCATCAAGTGTCACAGACTGGTAAGACAATACACACAGGATAGGAGGGATCCATCTTGTCTGTGTGTGTGTGTGTGTGTGTGTGTGTGTGTGTGTGTGTGTGTGTGTGTGTGTGTGTGTGTGTGTGTGTGTGTGTGTGTGTCATATTGTAGATAACATCATGCTTGATAGGAAGCTGCATTTGTGTGTGTGTGTGTGTGTGTGTGTGTGTGTGTGTGTGTGTGTCATCAGCAGACTGTGCTTCAGCAGGTGCAAAACCTCAAGGCAAATATGAGCGGCTTGATATTACAGGAGACATCTGGCATGCGGACGTTTACACTCAGCTGTGTGCATACAGTCTGCCTGCACACAGCTCAGTGTGTGTATGTGTGTGTGTGTGTGTGTGTGTGTGTGTGTGTCTCTAATGAGTACTGGATTACTTGCCTGTCCCTATTACTGTTATATCTACATGTTATTTTTGTAGAAGTTTGTCCTGTCATTCCATTTTATGTTTAGCTTCTGTGAAACACTCTGTCACTGTGGTTTGAAAAAGACTTTAAATGATTAGAACTGGTGTCATAAATGTCTTTTACTCACCAGGTTAGCCTCACTGGGTGCATGGTACTTCTCTGTGCCCATGCGAACCAGGCCGTCGTTGTAAAGGAAGATGCGAAGAGGGTCACATGAAGTGACCAGGATGTAGATGCGCAGGTCGAACTTGTAACCCTCCATCAAGAAAGGCTTGTCAAGATACTCCTGAACGATAAAGTGCTCCTGGGCTGGCAGCTTCTCACAATTACGTATAAGCGAGATCCTGCAACGACAGAAACTTTATTAATCCTCGGGGGGGAAATTGGGGTGTCGTCATGACATAACAAAATATGGCATAGTAAAGACAAAAAAGATAATTAGAAAAATGATAGATGGGACCATAGCAGGGACCATGAACATGACTGATGACGTTGGCACTGCCTCAGAAGTGCTGAAGAAAAAAATTGAACCAAACAGTACACAGATTTTATGGATTTCAAGGTAATATTTCATTGAAATAAGTGTGAAAAAGTTGGGGACATATTTCCGGGGTGCTACATCTGCCTCTTCTGGTGATTCTTCCAGACTTCAAATGTTGATATTAACTTTCCTCTGCTTACATTTTAAATTCAAAGAATAAAAAAATCAGTGTTCCTAATAGATAATGCATGCGATAAGGGGAAGATAATATGTCTTTATGAGTCTCAAATTATATAAAAGCTGAAGACATCAAGTAATTTTCAGTAACGGGGTCAAAGCCATATTGCCCAGAGAGCATTCATGTGACCCTCCATTGCTACAGAACCTTTACTGAAAACATATGTAAAACTAAGACAAGCTGTTTGGCTCTGAGGGAATTTTAACATTTCAAAGATGTAGTTCCTCTGTTCTTTACCCGCCCATCTAAATAAACCTGTTGAAAAATAAACGTACAAAAAAAAAAAATTGTACAGGTAAAACACAGATGCTGGTTTGTCTGAGAAAAACCTACACAGCATCTGGAGAACATTTGTGATTTTCTAAAGCCAAACTCCACTCATCAAATGTTGTGGCATGCTCTTTTAGCTGTGAGCAGGTTAATAGGAGCAGACATTGTGCTCAGGTTCCACCCTGACTCTAATTCATTTGCTATAGTCTCATGTCACTGGCACTCAGACCTTATAATATACAGACCAGTGCTAGCTGGACCAAAAGAATGAGTTGTGTTAGTCTCTGTGCATCCATGTGGCTGGGCACGGAAGGGGGAGGGGCAATCATTTCAAAAGTTTGTGAATGTGAATGTGTGCAAGTCTTTTTCCGTATTTGTGTGGGTGTATGCAGGAAGGGTGAGGGGTCAGGTTTAAACAATATCCCACTATGTACAAACATCACAACTGACCTATATCACCATCACTCATAGTTAAGGCAGACTGTGCCTAAATTGCTTACATTTACAGCCTGGAAGGCTCCATTAGGCAAGCAAGCAGGCACGCCAAAAACACACAAACACACTATTTGGCCAGGAAGTAAAGACTTGATTGTTCAAAAAAGTACAGTTTGAGCTATTGAAATATAATGGCACCAAGCCACCATAGATGTCTAAAACAGTGTAGTACCTGTTGTTTTAATGTACCAAAGAATTCTACTCCTTGGTTTACTCAAAAACCCTGAAACAATGTTGATCAGCTTTTCAAGTAAATCTATAGGCTGAGATCAGATGTTGGCTTTCAGGTTATGATGAGACAAGGTCATAGTTGAGCAGTTCAACCTTCAGCTTGAAGTAATGCCTATGTGTAATGTTCTTATTTTCAAGATGATCAACCCCTCAGAAAACTGAACTATCTGCCATATTGCAGACAGGCACTTCATTGTCCTGCCTATCACAGTGTTTTAACAAAAAAGAACAGGGAGAAGTTGATGGGAGCCTGATCGACGATGTGAGGGGCCCGCCTTAGAGGCAGACAGCAAGCTGAATGATGAGGACAGGGTTAACAGTGTTAGTTAGTCAAGGAGGAGTAGCTGAGGAGAAGACGACGTGATTGATGAGCTGGGGTGTCAGATAATCACGGCCCACTCTCCCCTGCCTATTTAATTTGGCACCAGAGGGGATCTCGCCTTTTTAAGCCCCGCACGCGCTTTTATTTTGTTTCCCTTATAACAAGCTGCGCTTCAGACACAAACAATAACTTCATTTAGTTGGCCAATGGAAAAATAAATTACAGGGGGTGGATATAACTTAATTTCCTGCCGCGTCACACCATGCAAAAAAAAAAATAGGAGAAAAATCTAATCTTGTGAGCCGCCCGCCGTTGAGTGGACGAGCTAAACTCATCATCTTTCATATTGTTAATGTATTGCAATAATTCAGCCTTTGCTGCCTTTTATTCCTTAATAAATAAGAGCTTAGTGCAGCATGGATTATAAGTAATGCTCACATTATACCAGAAAGGACAAATTCAAAGAGAATCAGAGGGAGAGGTGAAGCCCACAGAGCTATTTGTACTTCAATATCTCCACCTATTGGTGCTTGTGGTGAGTGCACTCCAAAGTATTTCTTCATATGTGCTCATCAGAGATCATGTTTTGAAAGAATAACAAGCCAAAAAGATGAATAAATAAATGCCTCACAAGCTGAACAGTATTAATGTATTATGAAGTGCTGAAGCGAGCTCTGTGGAAATAAAAAAAACACATGATTTTCTGAGGAATCATGTTCACAGTTTGGCTCGTCTTTTGGTTTATATTTAGTCCTTTGACATTTTCACTTGGTATTTTCACTTTTTTCCCAGGTCCCTGACAGAGGTTAAATCCTAACTGAATATCCTTCTGATGTTGTGGAGTTTATTGTGGAGAATCCTTCTTCTCTCACCGCCACCAGGATGAAAGCCTACATCAGTACAGATAGCTGTATGTATTTTTCAATGTGTCTGGGACAGTTATGCCAATGTTTGGGAAGTGAAAAGCAAGAAATTAATCATCAGAGCATAGGTGAGTACTAAAATAACTAACATTACCAAGTTAATGTTACCTAACAATATTATCAGGAGAAGCCAGTTCCACATTAATCCACAATCTCCTCCTCTCTGGGTTTTCTTTCTCAGATCGGATTCTGTAGAAGTACGACCCGGATTGTCTCCTCGTCAGTTAGTGCATCATATTCCACAACAAATGCCATTCACTCAAAAAATAAAATATTAAACTTGTTAAAACAGATAGGTAGCAACTGAGATGGCAACTTCTCCATACCGCTCAGTGGTTGAAAGCCTTTCTTGCCTGCTAGCTGGGCAGTTCCATTACTGTGTGACGTCCAGGGCCCGACTGATACTGATATCAATATTGGTGAAAAACAAAATCTCATACTGATATGTAAGCTGATATTTTTCTTAGATCTATGTTAGATCAGTAGAGACAGATGGATATAGATAAACACATTTATTTCCCTCAAATGCAGCTATCAAAAACTTGTGGAAAAGATATACAACATGGTAACTCAACTAGAAAGTAATTGTGCATATACGTGCATCACCGCTTGACACTCTGGAGAGTGATGATGCTTGTTGTAATCCAAATAGCGACCTCTGCTGGTGACAGAGAACTGCTAGTGTAATGCAATGAAATTCAAATGAAATGCTTTTTGACTGGTGAATAAATCCAGTAACATCGGCACATATCTGAGATCAAATTTGCCAATACCGATAGTCACTGGATGTGCTAATATCAGCTGATAATATCCGCGGGCTGATTATTTGGTCAGGCTCTAGTGACCTCACATAAAAGCTATGAACAGGGCCAGACTTTATCCGACGTATAATAGTAAATTAATGAGAATATCAGGTTATTTTTGTTATTTCTTGAATTCAATAGCTTGCTCTTTATTTTATGTGTCTTCTCCATTCCTTCAACCCTTTGAAGCTTCAAAGGTGAATGCTTGTCATGTTCATATGCAAATGATAATACCTTTGTTACGAAAGAAAAGAAAAGTTCTCCTGCATGGCCAGAAAGTTAAAAAAAATGACCAAATGTATTTATTTTTTATTTATTTCCATTTATTTCTATTTTAATGTACACACTGTTGTGATAATTGACTTGTAGTAATACTTTATGCTGAATGTAAAGTAATGCTCTTCCCAAAAGAAGAATTTAAAAAATGGAAATAGAGGATCCCCGTCCTGGGATCTGCTCCCAGTCACTTGTACCTGGAAGTCTTCCAAGAGTCAGGTAGTTTTCTAGATGACCAAACCAGCTAGACAGGCTCGTCATGAAGAAAAGAAGCTTTAAAATCAATACCTTTAAGTTCTCCTGAAACTTTGTCAGAAGGACATTAATTTAACCCTTTGTTACTTCTGGATTTCTAATGTTTGGTTCAAGGAGAATATTGTTATCTACAGATTCTACAATACTTACTATGGCCGCAAAAATGACTTGAATCAATAATGATTTCTTTGATATCCCTGTAAAATGTAACTGTTGAGTCTCCACCAAAGGTATTTTAGCTACTGGACATTAACATTTTATCAATTAAGAATTTATAAACCATGTCTTCATGCTTGCAGTTTAGGATAAATAATCAGAATTTGATGCTTTTTCTCTAAATACTTCATGATTCCCACTGTCAGTATTGAAGACATACAACAGAAATGTGACATCAAAAACCTGAGGTAGCCTCTCACCCCTTTGGGCCTGCAAATATAAAATATGCATTGAGGTACTATGGCCTGCTCATCTTTTGATTAAGAGATGCTATTGAGAGACAGAGTCCCCCTGCAGCAGCCATCTTTACCCATTTTCCAGTCTGACTGGTCACTGCTGATGGTGCATCATGAAGGAATCCAATAATCACATGCAAAGGCCTTCAGGGGAGAAACTATTGTAACTGCCAGGGACCATGTGTGTATGCACGTGTGTGTGTGTGTCCTCCTCTGGCAACGATAACCTCTGATTTATGGAGAGTGTGACCATCGAGGACAATGAGGCACACAATGAGAATCACCACACCCTCTTAGCTCAAATACTCAGTCTGGTCCCAGCTTTAATACTATTTCTATAGACCCCAATGACAGGGTCGAAAACCTCTGATTGCCTTTTATTGTTGTGCTTGTCCTCTGTTTGCTCTACTACTAATTTCCTCCTCCACTCACTTATCATTTCACTTTTTGCTGCTCTGCTTCAGTCACCTTCTCCCTCTCTGTCACCCTGGTTCCCACTGCACCTCTCATAGTAAGCGTGTCAGGTGGCTCTGCTCGACTCTGACCTACCCGTGACCCATGGCTCCGTTGGCAGGTTTGACAATGAAGGTCTTCTGCTTGCGTTTCCTGCGTAGCTCCTTGACGTAGTTCTGGAACTGAGTGTACTCTGCGGGGAAGATCCAGGTTTTGGGTATGAAGCTGTACTCTAGAGGCTGGCACTTGATCATTCTGGAGAAACAAAGACAGGCTGTTTGGTGACTGTTTTTCTTCCTCTATAACAATATTTTATACTTGTAGCTTCATGAGGAGTCTTATCATTAATCTTGTTCTCTTAAAATGCAATTTACATTTTTATTACAGTGCAGGTATTTTTTGGGGGTCTTCTGGGGTTGGAGGCTTCTTCATCTTACTTAACACTGAGCTTTGTAATGTTCCTGTTTTTTGCATATCTGCAACTAAACCAAAGTCCTCTCATTTAATGTGTTTAAAGAGACAACAAACTTACTTTGACATGTTTCTCGCGAGACAGTCTTTCCGGCAGATTTCGCCCATGCCAGGGAAATGGTTAATTCTCTGCAGAGGGACAGGCAGAAATAATAATGTTGTTAGGGTCATTAAGCCACTCAATTCCACCCCCGCCCCTTCATAAAAATGAGCACATTAAAGGCAGCAACCTGAAGTGAGCTTACAATGTTCTGACATTTATGCCCAATTACGGACTCAAAACAAAAAGGTGACACTGAGACCTTTCTCCACCCTTATTTAGTTTACTGTGTTTTTTTATACTATTTAAAGGTTCGGGAGGGAAGAGGCAAGGGGGGGGAAAAAAAGCGATCAATCTCAACTCCGAGGGGCCGAGGTAATTGGTTCTGCATCGCAAGCTCCTGCAGTGACAGTTGAATGAATTGCTTTGAATGCACCGAGAAGGGGGGTAGGGGGTAAAGGAAAAAACTCTGGATTTTCTGTATTCTTTGACCAAATGAGCCTGAACAGGGGCGTTAATTAGGCTCGTATGAACTGAAACCTGACAGCAAACTCTCACAGAACATCACTGAACGGAAAAAAAGGGGAAAAAATGTAAAACGAGCGAGAGAGAGAGAGAGAGAGGGGAAAAGAACGCAGAGTGTAAAAGGATCTCGTGATTATTATCCAAACGAGACAGACGTAATTAGGGATTCGGAAGAGATTGCACAATTATGCCAATGTCGTGAGACGATGTGGCTTGTGAGGGGAAATCAAAACCAATTGTTGTGGGACTTCTACTTTTCTACTGAGAAATTATCTCATGAAATACTACAGCAGCAAGCGCTTAAAATAACCGACAGCAAATATGTTCTCTGTGAAACATTAGCAACTTTGCAACACATTAAGCCATAACAATGCAATTTTCAATCTACTTAGCTGAACTCTTGCTGCCCCTGTCCTAACAAGCCAGACTCTTTCTAGCCTGTGATTTAATCAATCATTAGTGCCCAGTCTAATCAAATAAGCACTTGTGAAGATGGATGGCTAATGCTCAAAGCTCGGGGGGGAGCTGCAGCAGCAAGTTCACTCTCCAGGACATGGAGGTCAAACAGAGGTAAGATTACTCTCAGACTAGCACACACACTACTCAGAGAAACCTTTGTTGATCATGTTTATCTAGTAAACATCACTAGTGACATCAGAAACCTGACCTGGAACCCCTGCCAGTCAAACTTGTCAGTTTTTCCAGTCTATCCTCCGGTCTGTCTGTCTCACTGTGTACCCAGTCTCCCTTCCTCTTTCTCTTACACACCACGTTGTGCCCAAATTAGACATTTTTTTCGCTTGTATTCTTTTTGATTTAATGAAGTGAGTGAATATACATTGCTGAGCTCTTTCCTGATTGACAGATTATTATGGCAGTGACTTGTCAATCACATCGATAGCCTAAAACAAACACTGCTTTATAGATTTGACTCTAAATGAATATAATGCTGTGATGAGGATGACTTTAAACTGTCAACTTAGATCACAAGCTTATCAGTACATTTTTTACTGAGGTAATTAATGAAATTAAAAGTAGGCATTTTCACTCATTATGTTCTTGATCTTCTACTATTAAAGGGATACATCACCCATTTGCATTAAGCTCATTAGAAACCTGGTAGTATTTTTGAATGGTCGTGCATCTCTCCCTCATTTTCCCCTGAGATGGGAAATCTTTGTATTTCTGAGTCTGAAAAGGAGCTTCCAGTGACGCAAAATGACGATTTTTGCGTCATTGGAAGCTGTTGCGGTTAGCAGGGTGAAACTACAATGCAGATTCATGCAGTTTCAATGGGTGAAGTATCCCTTAAACTCCTTTTGACAACAAGTGTAGTATCCCTCTGCTGGCTAATAGGAAAAGTGTAGGTTAAAGGCACTTCCACATTGGCTTTATTTTGCAGACCTTAAGGTAGGTCCACTTCTTTTATCTGCTCCTTCTTCTCCCCTTTATACTTATAAATTTCCCAGATTGTCATGCTTAAACTGAAGACTGGTAGAAAAACATATTGCAAGTCATGGTGATGTGCAACAAAAAACATTCTCCATCTGTGATTGTGAAATATAACCTCTTAATGTCTAGTGTTGACATTAGTCTACAGAAATCTTTGTCATGTTTAGCTATTTTAATCAAATAAGGACTTATAGGAAGGGGTATCTCTTTCTTGAAAAAAAACACAAAAAAAAACGAATTCAGATAAAAATACTCCAAGCGCAGAAGAGTTAAAGTAGCTGTCATGTTCATTTCATCCTTTAAAGCCCTTTGTCCTGGTTCTCTGCACCGCTTCAATTCTGCAGAATCTTCTTCACTTGTTTTTTTCTGAAGGAATCCTTGGGGAAAGTCCTTCATCACCTTACTTACAAGGGATGTACTGCAATAGAGGCCGGTGTTTCTGATTTAAAATGTGGTTCAACTTCCTGCTACACTGAGCACCAAAACGATCTTTTTGGAAATTGTTTTTAAAATGCTTTGCAAAACTAGACTTTCATACATCCACTGGCAGCAGATGGGTTTCTTGGCCTTCAGCTCTTGGCCACTGAGCAGCTGTAATGGAGCATACTGTAAAGGTTAACATCCAGATTTTCCTGTTCAGAGCAGCAATTGATTATTCTTAAGCTCTCCTCTCTAACCTCTAGGCTACCGTACACAGTTTGCTGACTTGACATGATAGCAATGTGGTTTACCTGATAATTCCTGAGCTCAGCGATTTTCTCGTGCTGCACGGCCGAGTCATTCCAGATGAGGTTGGCAGTCTCGTCCTCATCCCGCGTCTTCATGAAGTCCATCTCATTGATGACTATACGAACTAGGGATACAAACTCACATTAAATGTATTCCATATAAATAATTGACTATACAGTTATTCAAATAAACTTCACACATCGCCTTTAGGAACACATCTCATGTATATAATGTCAAAGGAAGAAGTAGCGAGTTGAAGCAAAATGAGGGAGAGATGTGACTTGAACCAACATAGCAGTCATTTTACAGATCCATGTTTCACACTCACATTTTGCTTGGCTTAAATTCTGTTTTTGCACGCATCAAGGGAGAAATGAGTCCAAGAGATTATAGATCAAAAAGCTAACAGCAATATTTACCATTCCTGGAATGACTTCAGAGAGCAGCCAATCGTAATGCCTCTCTTCAAAAAGATAAATTAATTGTCTGTAATGCATTCAAGTCCCACAGGAAACCCCATAGTATGAAAGATAGGTGGCAAACCCATTTGGACATTAATCCTACAACTATTCATTATTCAGTGAGTAATGAAAAATTCATATGCCCTAACGAAACGAGATATTAATTAATTTCTTGAAGGCCTTCACCAACCTGAAGAAGACTTGCCTAATGTTGCATGATGGCGCTTGAATGGGAAAAAGGTGTTTCTCACATTCCTTCATTCATCTGTTAATGTCTGAAGAGGCTAACACTGTTTTGCTAACCGGAACAGGGCAAGGGGGTTAACATTACAGCAGGCTTGTGCTCACAGTTAGCAGTGGGTACTTTGAGTACAAAGCTATAATCAATCCTTTCTCTCACATAACACCAAACAAGACATCCTCGGGCCGGAGTTTACATTCCCTTCTCAGTGGGAGCAAAGCAAACTTCAAACACCATCTCCCTTAACCTGTGACCTTTACCTGTAAAATTATCAATTCTAAAATACAAAAAGACCGCTGCAGAAGAAGTTAACAGCAGAAATGAGCCATCCATCTGGCCCTCAGTGTTAATTTTCCTTGAAAATAGCCCTATGCTACCCTCAGAATGGCCACTGTGAGGGTCTCGTCACAGCTAGCAAACTGACTCACAGCTAGACTCCCATCTACCTACAGCATCCCTGCTTCCCCCAACTGCTGCTGCTGACTCCTTGGTTTCGGAGGTTGTAGTTCACCCCTGAGAGCTGAGCTGCCACACAATATACTGAACATGCAAGGAGTGCTTACTGCGCTCTTTTGGCCCTGCTAAAACAAAAAAAAAAACTCTCTGCCAAGTTAAACTATCTCAGTAAGGATTTATGTATGAATGTGAGTCCCAGCTGTCTCCTGCAACTCTATTAGGTTTAATGTAAGACATTAAAAAAAAGATGGTTTCTTTCAAACCCTCCACCACAGCAAATGTGATTGGATTTGGGGTATTTTTGGAGCTGACTTAGCCTTACTCAAAGCAATTTCTAAATATTAAAATACAAATGAATACCTGCAGGAGCCCCTTAAATGTTGGTACTACCCACTCGTGAAATTTGAATGAGGAAAACAAGAATATCAATTCAGAAGCTAGAAATCTGAGGCCTTTGTATAATTAAATTAAGTACAAGATCTTGGTTTAAAGGAGCTTGCCAGATAAGAGCAATGTTGATGTTGCAGATACAACATTTCTATATTTAAATAATATCTGAAAAGATAGAACACCTGAAGTAACTTCTACTACACCTAAAACCACAACCCCCGACACATGTAATCAACCCAATTAAGACTCCTCCCTTGCTTTCCATTAATGCCAAAATAATTCTCCATCGATGAAAGTATTTAATTACCTCTCAAACAAACTCTCTTTACATCCAAACTTAGCTTCTCTGTTAAGATGACCTCTGTGATCAAAAGATATCTTTCCTTTTTGACTATGATGTAGTGTATTGAACTGTTTGGCCTCTTTTCAAGCCTGTTTTTAATCCTCGTCAAATCTTAAATGTGCATTTCTATGCACTCATGTCATTCATCAAACTTTTTTAAAAATTCTGTCACTGTACCAATCTCATATTTGGTGCCTGCGACATTGGCTGTGATGGTGCCTTTCTTCTTCTTGGTGTGCACCTTCCTCTTCCCACTGCTGCGGTAGGAGCCCACAGATGGCCCGTTCACGGGGGACGCTCCTTGATCCTCTAGAGGACAAGACAACACACAACAAAACTAGATACAGTCACAGCTTGTGCTCCAGACTTGGAGAAAAAAAACCAGAAGATGTTGGGAGTATTCTAATATATTTTCCTCATTTCTGCAGGGGATTTAGTTTGGCTTGTTTATGGAGCTAGGGTGTAAATAAATTAGGCATCTAGTTTGTTGTAGCTGCATGCATCATTATCTTTTATCATAATTAGTTTGTGCATGTGTGTTTGTCTGTTTTTTTTTTTTTTTGGTCTATGTGTGTGTGGCTGTTTGCATGGGAGAAAAGTGCTGTTAAGCAGGCAGGCAGGGACATGTGTGAGCAGGTGGCCAGGTGTGTGTACCTTTGGTGCTACATTGTTTGTAAAGAAAAAATATGCAATCTGATTTAACCATCTAGCAGAATAACTCCTTCATTCCCAGGGGAGTGGTACCTATCTTACTCACCTCCTTCATTGGGAGGGGAGGGCATCTCAGGGGCTGCCGGAGTCAAGGGGCAAGCCAAGCTCTCTGCCAGGCTTGGCGGGCGGGTGGGCCTCTCAGGGTCCTCACAGCACCCTCCAGGGGCTCTCTCACAGTCCCTCTAGTTAGTCTTCGCTGTCTTGGGCCGTATGGATGATATAGTTCAGGATGGCCCAATAGATCATCTGAGCATCTCTGTGGCACCTCTCAGCAGCATAAAGAGTAGCAGCACAGTCTAAGTGGGCAGAGGGAGATGGAGGGAGGTAGCAGGGGTGGGAAGAAGTGGTAGGGAAAAGTGGGAGGGGGGTGGGCTCTCCAGGGTCTTCACAGCCCCAGATTATTTACAGCCCAAAGAGGAGAGAGAGGGGGAGGGGGTGGACAGCGGGATGGATAGAAAAGCCTGTAAAGGAGAAGGAAAAAATATTTTTTACAGCTGCAGAATTGTAGTGGTAGGAGGCTGAATGGACAGAGGGTGACTACAGCACACATTGTGGGTTTGTGTGTATTTTCTCACTGGACTAAAGTGCACTGAACATGCTTTTTTATCTAAAACAGCAGCACACAGGCCTATGAGCCCTGTACAGCTCTGACATCGCAGTACTACTAATGCAATCATCTAAACCTGTCTGCTGTCTGCTGGACTAATTGCTATTCCACAGAACTGTTGTGAAATATTAATGTGGCTCTCAAGTAAAGGGGTCTGCAGCATCTCAGTGTGTCTCGTGCTTGTGCCAGCTGGGTTTCACTGGACGGCTGAGAGGTCACTTCATTCAAACAGATGGCATCTTTACAGTGGTTTGTTAAAAGCATGCTTCAGGCTACGAACAGTGTGGGAAATTCACCGCTGTCACCAGCCAGATCCTGTTATTGTTCGGCTGTGGTCTGAATGTGTCTTCAAACCACTGTCTGAGGTCATCAAACTATTGTTGAGATGTTTGTGACTCACTGGTTAACTGTGCTGCCACACAGCAAGAAGGGCTGTGTTTGGTATCGTCTCTTTCTTGTAAAGATTGCATGTTATTCATTTTTTATGTCGTGATTGACACTTTATATGTCCATGTTCTCTAGATCCCTCGTGTGTCAAAAAACAGAGCATCGTTAAATTGGGCTGTATACTCCACACTTCCCACAGGCATGGATCTATTTTAGAAAAGTTTCTAATGATCTTCCAAAACACAAATATTGCAGCTTAGTTTCAGTTCAACAATGATCCATGCAAATAGATTGAGGGGCGAACACCCTCATCCTCTCCTTTAGGAGGTCACACAGTAAAGAAGAAAAACAATATATTTCCAGATGAAATATGTTTATCTATGTTATTCAAATTCTTTCTTTTTTCTTGCAAATTATCAGATATATTTCCGCCTTCACAAGCAAAAGAATAATTATTCAAACCAAACAAAGTCAGCATATAACTTCCAAATGCAAAGCCTTTTCCTGTTCAAATTACTGAAGTTGAAAAGAAAAATATTAAACATCCCTATTGAGATTTTAAATTTTCCTGTTACTGTGATCACTTCATGGATTACAGTAACAGATATAACCCAGTAAAAGTAAAGTATTGTATTGTATAGAGGCTCATGGTGCCTCTTTAATATTTCAGAAAGAGAGCAACAGTAGCCTCTAGTGGTGAGAATTTACAGAAAAACCCATTTTTTTATTCACAAATGATGACTGTTCATACACACACACACACACACACACACACACACACACACACACACACACACACACACACACACACACACACACACACACACACACACACACACACACACACACACACACACACACACACACACACACACACCTGCACCTGTAGATGAAGAGACCCTATTGATTTTCTCAGCATTCTCTGTGCGGGAAACTAGCCAATCACATTGCTCGATCACTTAGTACTCCTCACTGCCAGCCTCCTGGTCTACCTTTGGTAAACACAAGACATTGATCCTGGGCAGGACAGAGACTGGAAAGAGATCAGCGCAGCGGGAAGAGAGGTGTGCAACACAGAGTGATGAAGGGAGACAAGCAGTGCTGATGACAAAACTTTCTCTATAGGGGTACTGGACTTTGGTGTCACATAAACCCTCAGGAACAAGAAGGGATCTGACACACGCACGCACGCACGCACGCACGCACGCACACACACACACACACACACACACACACACACACACTGCAAGTAGTAGAAAATGAACTTTATGTTTATCCTTAATATTCCAAACTATAAATAAGAGTTATTAGTTATTTTGATGTTTTATCAGCATTGAACGAGGAAGAAGATAGGCCCACACACTTACTCAAATGGCACAAGAAGTTTGAATTGATCACAACAAGTTCAGGTTTGTGAAGTCAGCATTGGATATCACATATCAACATCTGTTATCTCAATCTAGTATACAGTGAAACTGTTATGATTACTATTGTCACCTCAACATTTCAGTGGTACAGATACAAGGTGATAATATCTTGTTTAACGTTTGGACCATATACTTTTTTGAAAACTTATTTTCTGCTGTGACTGTACTTCTCTTCAGTTATTATGGTAGCATGAACCAAAATGTCTTCTTTGGAAATGTATTTCCTTTCACACTGTCAACACATATCTAGGCTGACAACCTTGTAATACGGCATACTCATTGACAGCCTAAAAAGAGTGATTCTGTTGTGCTCATTTGCCTTAATGCTAATGGTGATGAAAAACAACATGTAAGCCTTGCTTTGCTACAATCACACTATGAAAGTGGGATGTATTTTACTGTAATCATTGATTGACAGTGGGACTCGAGCTGGAGTCTGGACATCCTGTTGTGATGTCACAGGTTTGGACTGAGCTTGTCGATTGTGTCACATTTCATTGACATGTGCTTCAGGGCGATTACGATTTCCTGTTTGATAAAAAAAAAAAAAAAAGAACGCCACAACCTTTAAATAGTAACTGCATGGATCATGTTCCCTTATTGTCAAGATTAGATGGGATTCAACCCCTGAAAGCATTACTTACCACTATATTCTATAGCAAGAATGATCTAAATTAATCCCACAGTGAAGTATTAAAGACAGAATCTTAACTAAATCCCATCCATTAAATAGAGAATCCGCCATTAATCCTCTGATGTAATTTAATTTTTCTACAACAGAGGGAGCCAGAGGGCCAGCAGAGCAAAGCAAGGCTGAATGGGCAGAACTGCTATAGATGCTGAGCTCATGCACTTCTCCTTTGCTAAACACAACACACAACAAGGCTTCATTGTAGAGTCAGCCCTTCATGCTCTCAGCCTCACTCACTGTTACACAGGCCCTATATGCATGACAAATACATGTCTGTCTGTTTAGGGCATTGTTATGCAGGATTTGCTCTTAGTATCAAGCACAAGTTGTTTGTGTGTGTGTGTGTGTACAGTATGTAGGGGTGCTCTTTCAGGAACTTTGATTTGGTATTTTGGTAAATGGACTTGAGCTTATAGCGCTTTTCTAGTCTTCCGACTACTCAAAGTGCTTTTACACCGCATGTCACACCCACCCATTCACACCCTTTCACACACTGATGGTCGTGATCGCTATGTAGTATCATCCATCAGAAGTAACTAATCCATTCATACACCGCCACTGAAGCAGCGGGAGCAATTCAGGGTTAAGTGTCTTGCCCAAGGACACAACAGACATGTTGCTCAGCTGGGGATCGAACCCTCAACCTTCTGGTTGAGAGGCGATGACTCTACCAACTGAGCCACAGCCACCCAAAAAATTACTAAAAATAAAAAATTACTGAAAAATCAGGAAGAACATGACTGACTGTTCATACATCTATAAAAAAACAACTTCACAAAGATATTATTCCACTATCAAAAAAATATGTCATCACATGTTATAGCAAAGAAAAATCACAAAGACAGCTTAGCAAGAAGTGTGCAAAAAGGACAATCTGAACCTAAGGGACAGACTTTTTATTCATGACAAAAGGTGTCACAGCAATTACACAAGTCCCTTCAACAAACAGCACCACATCCCTGCTTGGTATGTTTTATGGCTTTTCCTTACATGAAACTTAATCTTGAAAGAGAGAGAGGCTTGGGGAATCACTTAGCCTCTTGTTGCGTTGAAAGTGCAGGATTTGCAGACACAAGTTCTGCACATGCAGGATGCCACGGTTTTGCTTTTACAGCAGTGTTGGGACCTCAGGGTTTGTAAAAGCATTCAAAAGGGAAGAGAGACTGACTAAGAATGATGACATAGTTGTATTCAACACATCCTTGACTGAAAAGCACATGTCAACGAAAAATCTTTTTCAAGTAGGAATTTGACCGTTAGTAATATAGGTCACACTGAACATTTTTCACAAACTAAAGCACACTGAAAGTGTTTCTCAGTAAATCTTCCAAGGTCCAGAAAAACCGGATAATTGAAGATCAGTTTTGTAAAAGCTATTTTTACTACTATGATTACCTTTTAGCTACATCATCCTTCTTCCAGGAAAAATCATAACTCAAAAGTAGTTGGTTTAGTATCGCCTGGCTTCATGCCTTTCTTCCAGATATGAGGAGGAACAAGTGTGGGAGATATCAGCCCACGGGGTACAGAAATAAACCAACAAACAGCTGAATGTTTAGCTTAAATGTATCGAAATGTACGGTAATACAAGCAAAGTGGTCTGACGTTTAATTAAGCTACTACCCTAAAAATGTTATTAAACATTATTTTATCTATAATCCTGCCTGACCCTTTTTTCTTTAAGACAGAATTGAGAAAATAATCATGGTTACTTGAGTTCACACATAGTCAGTGTGCAAACAAAGTAGGATTTAAATGTATGGAGGTGTATCATCAACGCCTTCGAACACGGGTGCACAGGGGTGTAAAAGCGGTGAACAAATGTACTGTTATTCTTAGCTAATCTGTCGGATTGTTGCGAGGAAAGAGTGAGTTTGAGGAAGGAGTTGACAGTCAGAAAATCAAGCAAGGGTCTGTGGATATGAGAGAACTCAAAGGAAAGGCCAGGATGATCAGTACATATCTGCTGACTGCTCTTGTTTGAAATTGTTAGGTGAGGTTCATTTTCTCATACAGAATTTTTGCCAAAAACAAAAAAAAAAAATGCTGTTATGTCTAATTATAAAAATTAGTCAATTCTAAAAAATGGTTTAACAATGAAGATTTACAGTCTTTAGATTGAAAAATAAGCCATTCCAACCTGTATTTCAGGTGTTATTGTTATTGTGGGATTAATGCTACAACGAATACCATATAACAATATAAAAAAAAAAATCAGAATGAAAGTGGTAATAACATGAAAATCAAAGATTAAACAAATCAAATAGCATTATCTCTGGGACATGTCCAGGAGAGGCAGGAGACTAAACATAACTCATGTGTTGTGGTGTTATTATTATGTAATCCATTTGCTCTGTTGGGTCTAGTAATGACCAGGGTGCTCTCTCTCAGCATGTGGTCATTTAAGTGGCACAAGACCAGACAAAATCAAAAGGCTTATCTTAACCCCCCCCCTCCATCCCATATAATTAGCCATGCTCTAAGCATGCACAGCCCTATGTTAGAAATAAGCTTGTGTATGCCTAGTATTTGTCTTCATGTTGTTTGCAAGGCTACCCTAAGCTATGCTACCAAGTGGCGAGGGGACCTATACTTGTCACAGTTAATATGGTATCTTCCAGATCACTGGCTAAAGATAGTAGGCCATCCTCTTCCACTGTTATTGTCTGAAATTGCGGATCAACGCAACATGGACCTCTTAAATCTCGCGTATAATTGATTGGATATCCGGGGTTTTCAGGAAATTGGGTTGCGCTCACAAATTAAAAGTCTCCGAGCACTAAAGCAGGTTGTTTTAAGTGCTGCAAATTATTTGCTAGCAAGCAGAAGCTAACGTAAGGCTGCTAGCACCTTGCATAGGTTAGGTGGAAGGACCAAACAGGGAAAACAATCGTACAATGTTGCGTTCCTGTTTACTCGCTGCCATCTGATGAAGCGTGCAGCGCCAAAGAGGGCATGTTGCTTCACAGTGATAATAACACATTTCTTAATAATATAAGAAAAGAAAGATGTGATAAGGAACACAATGACCTGCCATGCTCTACAGTTAGCTTAGCTTCACCACCCAGCTAAGGATGGAGAGAGAGAGGGGGGGGGTAGCAAGGTAGCCCCCGTAACGTTACTGTACCTTTTTTTATTCCAGGCATTTGCAGTGCAGCGCTTCTGCTGGTGTCATCCGGACGGCTCATGCAGGGAGACAATGGGGTCTTTTTTTTGTTGTCCAGTCCTGGGAGGATTTTCCAGACTATCACTGCGTTTATTGTGTGTAACGCTGTTTACAGCTGAAGACTGACGTTGCCAGAAACACAACAAAAAAATCTCTATCTTTCAGACCTCTTGTGAGGCTGTGAGTGCTGGACCGAATCCGTGGGCTAAACCATTTTGCTCCTGTGAGGAGGGGGTCGACCTGATAGAAGTGCTGAAGTTTGCGAATTCTCAACCCGGTACCAACTTGAGGTTTAGTTTCTCTGTTATGGTACATGTTAAGTCAGCGTGTGTTGTTTTAATCTCGTTTTGAGTGAAAACAAAAGTGGCAGTTCATACATACTTTCAGCGTAGGTTGGTTTCGACGCAGTTCTCCAAACGTGATACAAAACACAGTGACGCTGCCTAGCAACAGGAGTCGCTGACCATGGTGCTAAAAAAACGATCCTGTCGATTATGGGTGCGACCTGTCATTAATTTACCTTTCTTTCATCCATTCACTCCCTTTCCTATGTGTCTATAGGACTGATAAAGTGTAACATTCCTCACGTTTTACCAAAGAGTGTCGCTTCCCTCCAAGTCTTTATTTTACTATCATTTTATAACCATTCCAAAAGTTTTTTTTCATTGCTGAAATTTGACCTGGTGGTTAATAACACATTATTCTTTTTTTTTTTTTGGTTTACAGGGACTTAAAGTGTAAAGGACTACTCGAAAACCTTAGTTTAGACTATTTCATTTACAATTTTCTTCATTTTTAACAAGTTCATTTTTGTGTTGTGGCTATTTTTGTCTATTTTTTTGACTGGCAACACATGTAGGCTACTGTTTTAAGAGGCTTCCCCATGGGCAGGTTTGGATAACAGCAAAGTGGTTTCACTTGCATCAACAGTTTTTTTTTTTGTTATAGGCCTATGTGGATTTTTTTCAATTTTTTTGTGTCACAACTGATTTGACTGAGTGAACAAAACTTGCATAGGCCTACAGTATCAGAACACAATACATTTCAGAATCAATTTGCTGTCAAGTAGGCCTACATTTTCAAAACAAATAGTAAAGGACAAAAATAGTAAGAAGCTATAGAACAGCAGTGCTCCTGTTGACAGCTTTAAAAAATACAATGAGATAACTATATTATATGTTAAAAAATATATATAATAAAACATGTAAAAACAAATGATACAAATTGTGCAATGAAGGAGCTGTGCAGTTGTGCAGGTATGTTCATGATTTATAGTGAAAACATTTTTTTTAACTCTGGCACAAGAAAAAAACTAAATGAAGAGCATTTATATTGATAAAAAAAGCTTAAATATTAAATAAAAAGCCTTTCTATTTAAAACAGATGTGGACGAATAAAAAAGTGACTGCCAATGATTCCATTCAAAATGATTTATGAATAAAGGCACCATCTCTCAGCGATGAATCAAAGCGCTCATAACATGCACCTGTAAATGTAGGGACCCTGCAGGTGCATGAAATCCTGTTGGGTGGCCTCCATGTCTTCTCCGCTGGGAAATCTACAGGTCCTAAATAAGCTTCCTTTTTCCTAAAGCCACCCTTGAGAATATATCATTGGTTTCTCTGAAAGGGCACCCTGGAGTTTATTTTATAATTTTTATCAATTCCTTTTTTAAAACATTGAACAATTACGAACATAAAAGGTAAAAAAAAAAAAAAAAAAAAAAAAAAACATGATGATCAACTTCCAACACCTTTAGCAGCTACAGTTTTAACAAAAGAAATTGCATCCTTTTGCACCCACTATTCGATTGGCTCATCTTGGTATCAGGTAAGTGTGGTGAATTGGGAAATATTTTTTCCTAAACACTTAACGTGTACTGTACAAAGTTGTTGTCTAAATAGCACTAAGGCTACTTTTGTTTGTTATTATAAATTAGAATAATTCTGAACAGATCGGTCGTCTCTAAAGTACTGTACCAAGAAAAGAAAATGCCTACCAGACAACCTCACTCACGCTCCCACTTACCTATTACGTAAATGAGAACGTTTGAGCACCTACGATTTCCTTTCCGCACATGAAAGCATCATCTCAGCGGTCAAGTCTTTATCTGAATTCCCATACGACTTGAACGCAGCACAAAACGACAGCAGGCAGAGGTGAAAAGTCTGGATCATGTTTTCATTCCAGCGAAGGCGTACATGAACGACAAAGGACACTGTAAAAATAAAATAAAAAACAAGGATCACCAGGGCGGCAAGCGAAGCACGTCGAGGTTCTGCCCACGACTGAGACGACATTGATGTTGTTGTTAGCAAACCAGCTAGCACAAGCTGAAATTTGTTAGCTAGCTAACGGAGGGACCCTGTTAGCTCACCGCCACCATCATTGCTTCTCGCCAGCTGTGCATCGCCCTGTCTTCCTACGATGGGAAACGCAGCAACTGCCAAGAAAGGCAACGAGCAAGAAAGCGGTAAGCACCTCAAAAAAAAAACCAAAAAAACACTAAGCTATCCTACGTTAGCTATTGCACAGCGTTTTGCTTGCTTATCATATAATCATCATATGTAGAGCATCACTGTTGTGCAGTGTTAGCAGACTGTGTCACAGGAACATGGGCTGCAGACACGAACCATCTTTGGTAAAGCTGTTTATAAGGTGTGCTATAGCTCCCTTTGGAGTGAGCTGTGTTGTGAGTGCCACAGACGATGCAGCATGCTAATCATTTTAAGTGACAAGATAAGAAGATGACAGTCGGAGGGGGGGTTAGTCTTTTGATGGGTTTTCTAATACAATGCAATATTTTCCGCACTATTTCACGCTTTTTCATAGTTTATAGGGGGCTAACAATCAGCTGCTAGGAGCTACAGTAGATAACATCAGCAAACATTGGTTTCTACTAAAGCTGCTTTGCAAGGCCTTGTAACTGAGAACAACAGGTAGGCCTGATTATCAACAACTTGTGGAGAAGTTCACCACATGGCCTCTTTTCTTGGGGTTAATAGGTAAGCTTTTGTTTCTTTTCCAAGCAGGGGCTGTAATATTGTGGGTTACTGTGGGTTACCCCTACCTGATGTGTCAAGTCAGCTGTCAACAAGTTTACTGTAAATCAAAAATGTTCTGCCTCGATCACTGCTTCATACAGTGACGTATACCTGTGGTGGTGGTGATGATGCTACAACATCACGATTTGAGCAGCTCCCCTCCTTCACAGTCCTCGCTTTTGATCAGTCACTTCACAGCAGTCGTGTTGTGTTTTGCGTGCATTTGTGGTTAACTACCACAGGTAATCCACTAAACTGCACCATGCCACTCGTCGTGTGCCTGAAGATTCAGCTCTGACCTGCTGTCAGTTTGGCAGTAGTCCAAATAGTCTCACAACCTTTTGACTCAAGCCACCTGTAGTGTCTGCAGGGAGGTGTGGAGAGTTGTGTACAGTAACAATGTAACGCATGCTACATAAACACATTTTTTACACATTTTATTTAGCAATGAGTAAGGTCTTTTTACCTGCTCTTTTGTGATGTTAACAGACAAAGAGTAAAGTATTTTACCTGCTTTTTGTAAAGTGTCTCGAGATAACACTTGTTATGAGTTGACGCTATACAAATAAAACTTGATTGATTGATTGATTTTTTTTTTTTTGTTGCATTTCTGCTCACGTCTGAGTTATTTAATTATTCTTATGGAGCCAAACTGGAGTAACCTCTGGAGAAAGCTGTGCCTACCTATAGTGCACGAGTGTCGCAGAAAGGACGCAGCAGTAGTGTAAGTTGGTAAGGGTGTAGAGGAAAGCGCCTGAGAAGAACTGCATTGTTAAACCTCACCACCAGAGTGCACGCTAACCTGGAGATAACGTCCCTCTCCAGTCAGTGAGTGTTACTGGCCTACAGTTTCCTTATCAGCACTCTGAATGCGCGGCAGCTGTGCAAGGTCTTTTTTTTCCACGGCATCAACAGTTTGTCTCTGTTGTGCTCTGTGCCAACTTTGCGCACCTTTTTGTCAACACAATTTCATAATTTGCATGGCTGACCAAACAGTTGTAGGATTATGACATGAAATGAGAAAGTGTAACCACTGCAACTGAAGCCAAGTACATGAACAGGAAGCTTAACTTTATGTGGTTAGCCGAGCATTGCATTGCACTTCACTGCCTACAACAGGAAGCCAGTGTCACTCACTGGTCTACAGTTTGAAAACTGCTTCTGTGCTTAAGAGCCTTCTCGCTCACATATCAAATAAGATGGCTCAGGGAAAGGATCAGTCCTTCGCCAGCCGTATTTTTCACAAATATCGTAAGGGTAGCCAAGAGCAGAGAGGACCGGAGTGTGAGGGGCCTCATATCTCAGACTTCACCATCGTTTGGGATAAGTGGAGTAAGTGTTTCTGTTTTGCTTCTACATTTCGAATGTATCCGGCACCACCTGCAGCTCTGAGCAGAACGACTTTCAACTTGTTGTGACAGGAAAACTCATTAAGCCGAAGCTTGAAAAGTAAACCAAGGTGCTAATCACTTTAAATGGTACAAGTTTTCACATGTGTGTGATTATTCAGGTGGCTATCATTTATATTATAGGTCTTTAAAACGTTGAGACGCAGCCCCGTTTCCAAACCTTTACTAGAGTATGTTCCTATCTGCCTGATCAGGTTCCTAATCTCTGTATTTACACACATTTTTGATCCTCCAGAGACATCAGTAAAAGCACATTGAGCATAAGTCTTTGTAGCACTGTGCAGGCCATTTGTGGAGCTTCAGTTGCTTACATCACTTAAATATTTCCTGTCCTGTCATTTTTGTTGACCTGTTTTGCATGTATGAAATGTGTTGTTTTATGTGCTTTTCACAATGTCTTTATCAATCACTGTTTTTTAAAAGTATTTGTGACCGATGTCTGACATTTAACAACATGTTATTCATTGAAGTGGGATGGTGAAAGCCTCTTGAGTTAATATTAGATGTTATCTAGAGGCGATATAAGAATATACATTTTCCAAGCGATGAAATCTTTTTTTTTTTTTTTTTCTTTCGATGCAGAGTTAGTGTCAGTCTTTGGTGGGTTTACTTATTCTCTGCCATTTTGTTGTATGTTGCATTTAATCCACTTTGATCTCAAATGTTCTTCTTTAAAGCACTTCATGAATGTTTCTTCCTCTCTTTCTCTTCTCCATCATTTCCATCCATGTGGGTGAAT